GACAGTCCCTACTACATATAAGGAGTTAAAATACACTGACACTATAATTAACACCAGGAGACTACATAGAAAAAGGCAGATACAATGTAGACCCTACTATAAAATTTCAGAATCTTAGTCTTTCAAGAATATCTATTTAACTTTAGTGAAACTATTTTTTTTTCAATTCTTAAAATCTTAATTCACTGGTTTTATAATGGTTTAAATCAAAGCAATAAAAATTTGTACAAAATAAAATTGATGTTTTCCTACAATATTTTTAAATGACTAACTGGCAAATTTCACTCACTGAAGCAGAGGATGTCATTCTGGCCAGAATTTTTTTTAGCTGTTTGGCCAACAGAAAAAATAGAAAGTATTGTATAAAAATAAAATGTTTATCACTAGTGAAAGTATGAGATATTCTAGACCAAGCAGACACAGAATGGTCGTCAGGGTCAAGGGTCACAGGGATGTGGTGAAAATTTTTTGGAAAAATTGAACAGAACAATACAAAAATAATAAAATTGGTCAAGTGCACAAAAATAATATTAGACTAATTAACAGAAACTAAGTAAAGAAACATTGGTCCAATTAAGAGTAGAAAAACTAATGAAGAAATTAACAGATAATAAATACTAGCCATATACTGGACCAATTTGCAGAAAACAAATTTAAAAAAAATTAGGCTGTATATCAGTATAATCAACTGCTTATAGCTAAGTAGATTAGACTATGAAAGTGGCCAATAAAATCTGATTAAAAAAGTCAGTTAATTTATGTTGACTGCCAAGAAAATATCCTAATAGAAATAGTCAGTTAATTTATGTTGACTATAAAGAAATTAATAGAAATAGCTGGTTAATTAATGTTAATTCTAAATCCGGATCACAGGAAGCTGATTTTTAAACCAATCAAAACTTGATATGTAAGTTATGCCATGTTTTGATAAAAACAAAAATAGATAAAGCTACTGAAACAGTTTCACTCTTACTTCTGAGCACAATGACAACTATTTTCAGAACAGTAAAGTTCTTTACTACTTAGAATAATTAGATAACAATTAAGTCCACTTGTTATTAAGCCAAGAAGCTGTAAATTATTGAAAACATATTGAGCATGATCAAAACCAATTGTACAATCAATGTGCAGAAAATAACAGAAGGCCTGTTCCCTTGAAAGTTGTCTCCCTTTACATATTACTTTTACTGACAAGGAAATAACTCTACATTAACAGAATGTAAATGAGAAAAATATGGTGTATGTAGTTATACATTGTAAAAGGCAACTCACTGAAATGTGCTAGAATCAATCATGATGAAATCTGCGTATATTTAATTACACATTTTAAAAATACTACTCTTTCTAATGATTTTTTTTAAAAAAAAATCTAGTAATTAAGACTTTTTAAAAACCTACCCTAATTTCAAGTCATGTAAATATTTTACAATTTAATCAAATATTAATTAATAAACAATCATCATAGCAAATCAAATGGTATGATTTAAAGGAGGAAGTTAAATTACATGTGTGCTTAAAATAAAAAAAAATTAAAGTGCTTTAAAATATTCATTATAATTAGTTTCACTTTTGTAAGCAATTAGTTTTTCTGGTTTCTGTCTTTAACAAAGTACTTACAATTGGCAAGAAAAGCTTCTTTTTGATAGGAATTTATTTAAAATAAAGCTTAAAAACCTTAAATTCTAGGTTTAGACAATGAGGTATAAAATATATTTAATGTGAGTTTCAGTGTCAAACTAATTGTAGAAATACCAGTTGTATTTGTCGGAGGACTTCCAAGTTGTCTCTGTAGCCAATCAGTTAAGTTCCGTACAACAGTAAAAAAATTAAAGATAATGTGTGAAGCCAATATAGTAAAAAAAATGCAACAACAGTTTCATCGATGAATAAATAAATATAAATATACAAATGTGGTTGAAATAGTTGTATTTTCTTCCACAAGATCTTTGCAGAAAATGTCGAATTTATTGAAGCTTCACCAACAGATCTCTTAATGGTCCTGTTAGTTTTAGAATCACCTACTTCATCTTTAAACAAATGGGCAAAATTCTTTAATCTCCGCCTACACAGTATCTGAATGGTTGGAGTAACTAAAACTCCGCCCTCAATACAAGTAAATGGTTCAAATAACTTAAGCTCACACACAATTTTCTAAAATTAAATGGTCCAAATAATGTAAGCTCTGCCCACAAGAGCTTTGAATGGTTGAATTGAGTAAAACTCCGGCCTCAAGATCTCTAAATGGTCCTAATAATGTAAGCTCCGCCCAGAATAAATCTGAAGGGTACATGAACACATCAATCATTGAATGCAACCTCTACTGAAGCCTTCTCTGAGATATCATTCTATTCTAAACAAGTTTTATGGTAAAAAAATAATTACATCTAATTTAATCAATCATTGGTATCACTAATAGGTTTAACACAGATATTTTCAACAGACAAAATGTGTAATTTTTAATTCCCTTTTTGATTTGCCAACAAAAACCAATTGTTTGGCTTAAAAGTTTTTTTTTAAGATCCATAGTTTTTATGATCCAATAGGACATTGTTTTGACCGGTATTCACATCGAATGAAAACTGCAGTGTTTTAAAACATTGTTTAAAGTCACATTTAAAGTTCATCTTTAAGCCAAAGAAAATGTAGTACTTTTCTTAGACCAGAAGTCTATACATTATCCGTTGCCATGTCTTTCTGTGAAAACAGAATCAAGTGATTGATAGTCCGCAGACTGAACTATCCAATCACGTACACCAATAATGTTTCAAATAATTCACCAGTGTAATGCATTTGATTGAGGAATGCACACAGAATAAATAATAAGGCCCACATAAATATTAGTTTCATGAAGTTTTCAGAATTCGTCTGTTTTAGGAATTTCGTCCCCTAGTGAAAATATAGACCGCAGTGGTAACTGTAGACCCATAGTGCAACTTTTGACGTATACTGGAATTATAGACTCAGTTGTAGAACGTTGTTGGAACTACGTGTGCAAGGTGGAACTAGAGATCCAAGGTGGATCTAGAGGTCCAAGGTGGATCTAGAGGTCCATGGTGGATCTAGAGGTCCTTTGGTGGAACTAGAGGTCCTTTGGTGGATCTAGAGGTCCATGGTGGATCTAGAGGTCCTTGGTGGATCTAGAGGTCCATGGTGGATCTAGAGGTCCATGGTGGATCTAGAGGTCCTTGGTGGAGCTAGAGGTCCTTTGGTGGATCTAGAGGTCCTTTGGTGGATCTAGAGGTCCATGGTGGATCTAGAGGTCCTTTGGTGGATCTAGAGGTCCATTGTGGCACTATAGGTCTATGCTGGCACTATACGTAAGTTGAGTTGCTTGGTGGAGTTACAGGTCCATGGTGGATCTAGAGGTCCATGGTGGATCTAGAGGTCCATGGTGGATCTAGAGGTCCATGGTGGATCTAGAGGTCCATGGTGGAATGTCTTTTCATGTGCAGGGCCAGATGGTCACTCCTGGAGAAACACCGGACACAGAAGCGACACTGGAACGGCTTGGCGCCGGTGTGTTTGCGGAAGTGCCGAGTCAGCTCGTCTGACCGTGCGAACCGCCACTCACACCCCTCCCAGGTGCACTTGTAGGGCTTCTCACCTGTAACAGGAGAACTCACGTTAATACAGGTGGATGTCTGGGGTGGTGGTGGTGGGGGGGGGACTGCTCTAGAACATACGGGAACAGGACATTACCCCCTGTCATTACACCCCCACATTACCCCACACAAAAACTGAAGTAGGACATTAGCCCCACTCTCCCCCCCCCCCCCCCCCCCCCCCCCCGAGTCGATCACTAATTGACGCTGTAGCTAAGAGGGATAAGCTTAGGATTAGGAAAAAAGGTATACGGATATAGAGATAGTTTAAGGACAGATTAAAGATAAGTAGAGATAGAGGAATAGGGTTAAGTATATGGATACGAATCAGGGTGCGAAGATGGGCAGGGATAGGGATGAATTATCTAGTCATGTACATTGTTTATGAGTATTTGCATTTGTATCACTGTCTCAGTTACACATTCGTTACACACGATCGTAAAAAAAACGTAACTAGTAACTTACCCGTGTGTGTACGTAGATGTGCTTTGAGATGAGAACTTTTTGTGTACACCTTTTTACAACCCGTGTAGGGGCACTTGTGTATACGTCTGCGACTGTCCGGACTACTCTCGACCCTGGGGTGGAGCCCAGCTGGCACCATGGGTGGCCTCTGGGACAGATTGGCCATAGAGTGGGCCATGTGCGCGGCGGCCGGGTGGCCCGGGGGTAGGTGGATCCCAGGGTGGGCTGGGTGCTGCAGGGTCTGCTGTTGGACGGCACGCATGCGCGCGGAGTTGAGGATGAGTCTTTGGTTCTTGTGGATTAGATCTGCGGAGTAGGGTCTCAGCTCCACCGTCTCCGTCCTCCCCGGGGACGCGATGAGCTTCAGGGCGTGGGGGTCGTTTGATTTTGGCTTGAGGGGCGACAGGGGCGGGTCGCTGATGTTGCTGTCCCAGGATACGCCGCTGGAGGAGGAGCTGAAGCTGTTGATGCTGACTGTGTCGGACAGTTTGTCGGACAGCCGGTCGTGTATATTTAGCATTGCCAGCGCTTCCAGTTTTTCGTCCATCGGCGTGTCGTCGTCGCTGTCGTCTTCTAAGTCGTCTTCCTCGTCGTCGATGTACCCCGGAATTCGTCGGGGTCGATTTCGGAGTCGGGTAACTCGGAGTCATTGTATTCGGAGTCACCGGTGGCGGCGCCGAAGGAGGAGCAGGAGTTATCGTCGTCTAGAGATCGGGCGTCAGCGCCGTGGACGAGTGATGACTCCTGGAGGACGGTGCCGCACGCGCCGTCTGGGACAAGGTCGTCGTCTGCTAGGTTGGCGCCGATGGTGATGCAGCTGATGTTGTTGTGCTGACGAAGGCTGGCGTTGGCTAGTTTCTGGTCCGGGGAAAGTTTTTTGAATGACGTCAGTTTGGGTTCGTTTTTCAGGTAGCGCTCCATCTCGAGACAGTTCTGTAATGAAAATGTAAGACTTATGTTAGACTTATGTTAGACTTATGTTAGACTTATGTTAGACTTATGTAAGACTTATGTTAGACTTATGTTAGACTTATGTTAGACTTATGTTAGACTTATGTTAGACTTATGTTAGACTTATGTTAGACTTATGTTAGACTTATGTTAGACTTATGTTAGACTTATGTTAGACTTATGTTAGACTTATGTTAGACTTATGTTAGACTTATGTTAGACTTATGTTAGACTTATGTTAGACTTATGTTAGACTTATGTTAGACTTATGTTAGACTTATGTTAGACTTATGTTAGACTTATGTTAGACTTATGTTAGACTTATGTTAGACTTATGTTAGACTTATGTTAGACTTATGTTAGATTTATGTTAGACTTATGTTAGACTTATGTTAGACTTATGTTAGACTTATGTTGTCATTTTTCGGTTCAAATACAGCTGTTTACGTTTGTTGTTAGACTTAGTTGTAATTTTTTTTGTTTTAAATACAATAGTTTAGACTCTTTTTTTAAGATTTACTCCACAAATTTTTAGATTACTTAAAAAAAAAAATAGGTTTTCTATAGTGAATTAATCTTAGCAAAATCATTAGAATATAATGTAATATTTAAACGCCAGAAAAAAAAACCCCACGAAAAACGACACAATTACAAAAGAATAGACCCGCAGAATGATCATAGTTGTTTTTTTTTTTTTTTTACTTAACGACCAGACATTGCATATGCTGTTTAAATAACTTTTTGCGCCATATTTGGATTAAAAAAAAAAACAACAAATCTCACGGCTAAGCCCATCCTGCATGTGCAATATTTATAAAACTTTGTCGGACACTAGTCAGTCAGGTAAATCCGTAGGACTTGAAATAAACAATGTTTTTTGTAGAACTCGGGTGCTCTCTATTTATGTATACAACAAGAAATTGGGATATCCCCCCCCCCCCACACACACACACTTCCAGTCTATAAAAATAAACTTTCTCCCCACCCCCCCTCGTCTCTGTGGACGCCATAAATCGATCAACCTTATACCGGTTAGTTAGTGCTTACAATACACTTGTATGTGTATTGACCAGGAATGGAACAAGGGCATTCATCAACAACATGAGCAAGAGTTGTTGAACTGGCTGTCTGTAAACTGTGTTTTGTGATATTTTCTTTACTGATATTTTCTTTACTTTACGTATGGCTTAGGTGGATGTATCCGCGGACATAAAATATTTTTTTTTTATCTAGGTGGATATGTCCGCGCACATAAAATATGTAAATCATATTATCTAGATGGATAGAACAGTGGATATAAAATGAAAAAAAATTATCGCGGTGGATATATCCGCGGATATAAAATAAACAGTATCTAGATTAAAAATTCTAGATGGATACATCCGCAGATATGCTGTTCGCTTATCCGTACACCATCCGTAATTGATGACATCATCACGAAGGGGTGGCCATGGTGCCAACATCTGAACCTTAAGGGAGCTTAACACTAACCTAACTCTAAGAGCTTAACACTAACCTAACTCTAAGAGCTTAACACTAACCTAACTCTAAGAGCTTAACACTGACCTAACTCTAAGAGCTTAACACTGACCTAACTCTAAGAGCTTAACACTGACCTAACTCTAAACCTTATTAACTGTGAGCTTGACACTACCCTAACTCTAAAGCTAATTTAACTGTGATATTAACACAAACTCCAAACTTTGTTAACTCATTATTAACTCTAAACACTATAGGTATATCAAACCTCCTCTCCTAACCCTAAATATAAATCTAAACCTGATCCTAACGTTGTGTCATACGGTAAACCCCCACACATTACCTCACCAACACACCCAACATCTCCGTGAGTACATGCGTGTAAAGCTATCAGACATGTCATGAGTCAGACTGGATTAACTCACAAGATAAACTCATCATTTTGACGTTTTACCTTACGCATTTTTAAATTTCTCTCAAAAATTTCTTCCACATTTTTTAAATCAAATAAACTAATACATAGGGGCGGGGTTCAAGCTATTTGTTAATTCTTAGTTATCGTTCTTTAAAACATGAAATCACCTGTCACGTAAGAAGCAGTAATGTAAGGATTCTTAAGCTAGTTCCTCCTCAATCTAAACCCTTCACACGGCCCAACCTAGATGTAGTACGCTCAGGTAGACGTATTAATAAATCCAACTATAATCTTTTATTCATTAGCCAAGCCAGGTTGATTAACATAACGAGCGTTTAAGTTCAGAACGAAATTAGAACAACATTCATCATAAAAATAGGGGAAGACGTTTATAAGTTAGCGGGCCAGAGGCATTCCATTGCCAGTGAGTGATAGATAGCATTGTTAGTGTTCAATTACACGTGTGATTAGTTAGCAGAAACTGGTTGCGTCATCAGAACTTTACTGCAACAACATAGGTGTACATGTTGTATACAGAAGTTTTTTACTTTCTCGTCTACAGAGTATAGAGGACGTATAGTAATCGAGCACAAAAAGAACATCAAATTTTGACAGTTTTCATCGTTTTATACCTCAGTACTTCATCGTATACGGAGTATAGGGGACTTATTTTAATGGGGCAAAAATAATAAATGCAGATTTATAAAAAAAAATCAGCGTTCTATGCGTAATCGAGTTGGAAAAACTGGGCTATGCAATTCTGTCCTTATGTCTGAATGTGTGTGTATGTGTGTGTGAAAAATAATGTTGAACTGAAATAAAGAGAGTTCTGAGGAATTTCGTCTCTTGAGAAAGAAGGCATTACACATACATTCGATCTTTTAGTACTGTTAGTAAATAAAGGTAATATTGTAGTTTTATAAAATATAGTTTAAGATTCGCTGAGGTGATGACAACACATAAAATGACACCGCCTCTAGTATGACCACATACAAAATGGCACCGCCTCCATTATAACCACATACAAAATGGCACCGCCTCTAAGAAGAAATCTCATAGAAATATTCCCCCCTGATCTAGACAATTCTCAGCAAATTTGCTCCCGTCTGTCTTACACTTATCTTCCTCGTAGCTCTTTGGCACAAAATCTTTTCTCATAACTGATTTCATTCCCCCCCCCCCCCACCCTTCTCGATGAGCGAGAGAGAGCATGCAACAATCTCCTGTTCTCGAGAACTGGCACTTATCTATGTCAAATAAACGCGAGGTCATTCAACTTTAACCCATGAAAGGTGACGCAACCTTTGTAACTCTGAGACATCGTAAGCCGATCCACATGTAACTAGGCAACACACCCAAACATTTCTATTTAAATCCACATGCTCACCCTAACGTTCAGAAAAGTAAAACCGATGATCACGGTCTAAGTTTGAGCATGGCTTGTATTTAAAGATGACTTGTTATCATCTTTTAAACTGATTAAAAAAACCTGACTTAGATGTATAAAGTAAATCAAAAAGAAAATTTCCTGATATTGAAGGAAGATGTACAGACGAGAATCTAAACCCTCGCACTCGATGTAGTATTGATAAACCCATCAAGAAAGTGGATGAAAAGGTCGGAGAATGTAAACTTCAGTCCAACGACCGAGTTCTTTGGAAACATTTTTTATAGGGGGAAAAAATCGGTGAACTCCCACTGTGAATGTGAGTTGAAAGATGCGTTTAATTTGAGTAGAAAAGCTGATAGTTTTTAAACGCGTGACGAAATTTTCAGCAAATTTAGTCTTTTCTAAAATCTGTGTGTTTTCGGTGCAATAGCCAAACACCTTTAGAATGAATCAACCTCAAAAATTAACATAGAACCTTAGATTTATACTTGTACTTTGCAATAACAATCGCGCAATATATATATATATATATATATATATATATATATATATATATATATATATATATATATATATATATATATATATATATATATATATATAAAGCCGACCAAAAGAAGTTATTTTGATGCTCTTAGGATCCACCTACATAGTGTATGTTGGGATTTCTAACCGAAGAAAAGATACATTCGTTGAAAGACAGATTGTCAATACTCGTCTAGGTTCGTTCAGATTCGAACCAGTTTCGTGCAGATTCGAAACATTGACATCTAACCGAAATATGATCGCTACTCAAACATAAGATCTACGCCGTTAAAGTCCACGTAAATATAGTTGACGCTTCTTACAAGGGGTCGACAAAAACGCATCGCTCATTTACATCCTGTCTCACCTTTATGTCTCACCATTCTATCTTACCTAACTATCATGTCCCACTTATCTTACCACACCATCTCACCATCCTGTCTCACCTTAATGCCTCACAATTTTATCTTACCTAACGATTATGTCCCACTTATCTCACTATACCATCTCACCATCCTGTCTCACCTTAATGCCTCACCATTCTATCTTACCTAACCATTATGTCCCACTTATCTCACTATACCATCTCACCATCCTGTCTCACCTTAATGCCTCACCATTTTATCTTACCTAACGATTATGTCCCACTTATCTCACTATACCATCTCACCATCCTGTCTCACCTTAATGCCTCACCATTCTATCTTACCTAACTATCATGTCCCACTTATCATCTCACTATACCATCTCACCACATATCACCATCTCATCTCACCACACCGTCTCACCTTCATATCCAACAATTCCGTCACACCACCATGTCTCACCATTCTGTCTCACCACTGTCCTACTTTGCGTCTCACCATCTTGTCTCACCATCTTGTCTCACCATGATGTCTCACTTTCCTGTCTCACCACTGCCATACTTGTTGTCTCACCATAATGTCTCACCATCATGTCTCACCATTCTCTACCACTTGTTGTCTCACCATTCTAACTCGTCGCTCCTCAACCTACACACCCCAACAACGCCCTCACAAACATATCCCCCACTGCCTAGCATGCCCATAACATAAGAATTTATTATGTCAACTTTCCGTGACTTTTTAGTATTTCCCAAACCCATATTACCACAAGGAGACAACGTGTAATACAGCGCACAGCAACTCAATT